AGACCGATTGAGTACATGAGTAAGAAGATGCCATCGAAGAAGTTGGCTAAGTCCACCTACGAAAGGGAACTCTATGCTCTCTATAAGGCACTTGTCCATTGGAGACACTTCCTTTTGGGAAGGTTCTTTTATCTGAGGACTGATCATCAGACCCTCAAATGGATCAAGACTCAACCGACTCTTTCTGATGCACTCAAGCGATGGATTGAGGTCAAATATGACTTCAAGCTTGAGTACCTGAAGGGAGAGTACAACAAGGTTGCAGACGCGCTATCCAGTAGAGCAGACTACCTGGGTGCGCTAGTTTCTGATTTTGGCGTATCTAATGAAGTAACTCAATCATTGGTGGGAGCCTATCAGGAAGACCCTGTCACGATGGACATCATCCGCAAACTCCAGGCAAAAGACAAGGCCACAGAAAGTGAGTTTGTGATGGTGGACGGGCTACTCTATCTTGATAAGGCCGGAATAAAGAGATTGGTAGTTCCATCTAGTGAACAGTTGCGTAGTTTATTTTTAGGCGAATGTCATGACGCAACTGGGCATTTTGGCTACAAGAAGACGAGTGCTAACTTGGTACAACGATTTTGGTGGCCCCGAATGCTAGATGACGCAAAGAAGTATGTTGAGACCTGTCAGGTCTGTCAGCGGGACAAGCCGCGAACTCAAGCACCGCTTGGGTTGTTGAAGCCTTTACCTATTCCCGATGGTCCAGGATTGAGTGTTTCCATGGATTTCATGGACACCCTGGTGACCAGCAAGAGTGGTAAGAGGCACATTTTCGTCATCATCGACAGATTCACCAAGTAAACTAGACTAGTACCAATGCAGAGACAGCCAGGACAGAATACGTCATCAAGTTGTTCAAGGACAACTGGGTAAGGGACTTTGGTTTACCAAAGACCATCATTAGTGACCGAGACGTTCGATTCACAAGTGAGCTGTGGAAGAAGACTGCGGAACAGATGGGCAGTCAACTTCAGATGACTTCAGGGAATCATCCCGAAGCCAGCGGACAGGCCGAATAAATGAATAGAGTTGTACAGCACTTGCTGAGGCATTACATCAAGCCCAGCCAGGATGACTGGGATGAGCAGTTACCTCTCATCGCCAGCCTGTACAACAATGCTATACATAGTAGTACCGGCGTTAGTCCTAACCAGCTGCACTTAGGATGGAAGCCTAGATCAGCACTAGACTTCCTCCTGCCTGAAAACCGACCCGCTGCAACTCCAAGCACACTGGAATACGGTGTGCAATATGAGAAGTTGCTGCAAGAGGCTGTTGAACATATGAAGAAGGCTCAGCAAGCCATGATTGCTTCTGAGAATCAACATCGCAGACAGTCCGCATTTCAGGTAGGGGAACGTGTCTGGGTCAAGGCTAGTGAGTTAGGACAGGAGTTCGGAATATCTCGCAAACTAATGCCTCAGTAGTTTGGTCCCTGGGAAGTCTTGGATGTAGTGGGAGATGAGTTGGATGGTCCCACATATGTCATTCGTGTCCCTGGACACTTACGTACTCACCCAGTCTTTGATGCCTCAAAGCTTGCACCTTTCGCTGAGACTGATCGATTCCCTTCCAGGAGATCTATGCTGCCCCCAACCCTGGATGGAGAAGTCGACATCGACGACATTGTGGATCATAGGGACATGCCTGTTGCAAAGCCGCTGGGTCGAGGAAGACCTCCTAAGCCCAAGAGAGAATATCGCRTCAGATTCAGGCATCAYGTAGATCCAAAGGAAGATCGATGGTTCACCAGGGAGGAACYGATTGAGACAGCTCCTCAAGTGGTGGCAGAGTATGAAAGGAAGCTGAAAGGGAAGGCACCTGCGAAGTAAGCATCTCAGCGGACTTTCGAAGCTAAGGGGGATGGAATGTGAGGATTGAGCCCTCAAGAAGGGGCCTTGCCATGATGTACATGTTATGGGCTAAGGCCCCAGCAAGCCTCGTGCCCGTCCTAAGTGAAGGCGGGCCAGCAAATCAACAAGAGCCCTCTGTGCGAACGTTTTCCGAAGTGGGGTCCATACAGTTGCAGCACGCCAGTTGGTTGGAGTGCACCGAGTCTCGAATCTCAGCATATGTGGAAAACCCCAGGGCCTTTGAGTTAGTTAGGCCCTGGGCACTTGAACGTGAGGCCGACAATTCATGCTGGGTAGAGAGGCCGAAAATGCCAAAGGGAAAATCGGCCACTATCTGAATCTGGCCGCAGGCCTTGATGAAAGAGGCGCAACTGCATTGCCTCGGCCCTCAACTGTATTGGGCTGAGTTCAGCCTCTGGGGCCGAGACGCAGGCTGAAGGGAGGCCGCCCACACGCAGCACTGGTATATAGGCAAGCAGGGCGAGTGGGCAGGGATCTTGGCCAATGCAGGCATTGCGGGCACGCCGCGCTAATGCATGTGTGCTGCGCTAATGCATGAGCTGCGCTGCGCTGGGACAAGGAGGCTAGCGCTAGGCGGTAAGGCGCTGCTTGCATGCAAGGCACTGGCGGCCATAGCCGGACCGCACGAGTGTGCAGTGAGGGTGAAGGGCAAAGGTGGTCTTCGGAGGTGAAGGGCGCTGTGGGTTATCAAGGGAGAGTGTGGATGACGAGGACACATACCTGGTGGAGGTGGAAGTCGGCATTGGTGTTGACATCATCACTCGCTGGTAGTCAAGTTGTCTAGTTGCTTTCATTGCTGTAGTTGTAGGTATAGCGTGTAGGGTAGGTAGGGCGCCTGGCGCCATTCAGACAGAGAGCTACATTGGGGTATGCTGTTGGTGTTGCCCTGTTGGGCATGGACATTGACTCACGACTCTTCTGTATTGTTCTCAATTGGATGGTTACTCGGTTCCATTGTACTATCTTCTCTGGCTTTGACTACTTGGACTTCAGTGTGAATTTGCAATCTGGATTTTTGTGCTTTGTCCATATTCATGTTCCTTGCAATACCTTTAATTTCTTTCCAAATTCCTTGGAATTCTTTTGCAACTCATAATTAGCCCTTATTCCGAAATTTTGAATTCACATTTTGAACTTCGAAATTAATTACTTATTTTTACGACATTATTTTGAAATTTCTTTTCTTTGCCGACATTTCTTTAAATTCACGTTCGGAATTAATCCCTTCCTTCAGAATTAATTATTATTTATTAAAAAATTCAACGAAGAATTTTAAAACTCCCCCTCCTGTGAGGAACAAGCCCTCAAGGGGCCCTATCCGACATCACATTGTTCTGGGCTAAGGCCCCCAGCAAGCCAAGTGCCCGCCCTAAGTGAAGGCGGGCCTGAATATTCGTCACAGGCAAAATTCGACATTACCATATGTGGGTATTCAGGCTCCCGCAGCAGGCCAGTTGTTTGGACAGACGCATGAGCCTCACAATGCTGCGTCATACAGTTGGCCCAGGCCTTGACAGTTGCGCCTGGGCACACATACACAAAGCAGGGCTGATACATTGGGGAGCAGGCCTTCGGCCTTGGCAAAAGCAGTAGTGCCGACGCACCTGCCGGGGAGCCCTGCACAGATGCAGCAAACAGCCCAAGTCCGGAGACTCAGGCCGTGCCTAACTGCAAAGGGCCCAGACCCTCAACTGTAGTCTCGGGCCTGGGCGCAGGGTCTGGGACCCAACCGGAAGCTACTGGAAGCTTCCAGCCAGGCCACACGCAGCATCGAGGAGGCTGCCACTTCCACAGAAGGAGTGAGGCAGCCCAGGCCAGGCATTCTGGCTAGTGCTGGCAATGCGGAAGTGCTGCTGCGCTCTTGCTTGATGCTGCGCTGCTGCCAAGGGCGCTGACGGGGCGCGTAGAGGTGAAGTGGGGCGCTGCAGGGCAGTGGGGCGCAGGCGGCCATAGCCAGGCTGCTGGGCGCCAGGGGGTAATGCGGGCGATTGAGTGGTCTTCAGGGAAGGAGGCGAGTGTTGAGGGTGACAAGATACGTACCTGGTACATGAAGAGAGGTCGGTGATGGTGTTGGCAGTCATGTACATTGGTCTTCGTGAGTCGAAGTGATCCTGTTGCGTGAACCAGCTGTAGGTAGGATAGTCTGGTAGAGTAGGCTGGGCGCTGAGCGCCAGACAGAGCAGAGCGACTTTGGATACTGTGTTGGTGTGGCCTACGGGCTTGAACATTGGCTCATTACTTCATTGTATTGCTCTATATGGATGGTTTTCTCGGTGCATTTGTACTCTCTGCTTGGGACAAGACTACTGGGAGAGCTGTGTGATTTCGCAATTTGGTTTTATGTATATCGGTCACACTCATATTCTTTGCAATTTGGTATCAGAGTTGGTTCGAGATCGCCGCTTACTTGGCACTGGCGACATTGTGACTTGGTGCGCTGAAAATGCTTCATGTGCAGTAAGGATACTTTGGCGCTGGTTGATTAGAGGGGCCTAGGTGGAGAGGCCAGCCGGTGGAAGCTGTGGTGACAGCGTGGGAGCTGTGGCAACAGCGGGTGTATGCATGATGATGAGAGTATGCTGATGTGGCATTTTGGCTGAGGTGGCACTGCATTGCGTTGTGGTGGTACCGAGGCTAATGACCGGTCATCGAAATGCTCGTCAGCCCAATTGGTGAGAAATCTGTGGTTGGGGGCAGCTATCTCCAGGTACGTTGTTCCCATTCCTTATCTATCCTCTCAATCTCTTCTTACCGTGAGGAAGTGAGTCCAACTTGAGTGTCCTCTCTTTCGAAAGGAGTCGTGTGCGCTCTATCTTGAGAGACGACATTCTTCCCGGGGGTGGGCCGTGGTTGCATACCTTAGACACCGCAGCTTGAGGATGCTCACAGGTACATTGGATACAGAGGAAGAGGATTTCAATTGTGAACTAACTGTTCATCACTATATTATCCATTGTGCATACATCTTCTCACTCTAGTTTATTTTTATCTTGATTAGTTGGTGGACAGACTGCTAACACCTAACAGACAGCCTAGAGTAGGACTGTAATCTACCATAGTCAGTTCTTCTTAAAGCTTATGTGCAGAACTAATCAAAGATAGAGGTAGACTGCATGTGTACAGTTCGTGTAGGTGTTGTTGATGTCGCTTGACTAGTAGTCTAGGTAACTCACCGGACACCAATTATTTTATTTATTTTTAGAACCGGTCAAAAGCATGTTGCGGTAGGTCCCAAAGAGGACATTAGTGCAGACAACGTCTGCCTAGCCCATGAGCGGATCAGAGGGTGGGGAGGATAGATCTGATGATAAGAGGCAGACACGACGAGATACCGGTAGGATACCTGTTGTGTTCCAGGTTCTAGGAGACGAGAGAAGGCTTAGGGCCGAGATAAGGGCCCACAATCTAGAGACTGCGAGACAGGCAGCAGCAGCGGCTGAACTCGCATTAGCAGCAGCAGCAGCTAGCGTGGTAGCAATGGCTACCTCTTCAGCCACTTCTGCTGCAAACTCAACTGGTCATGCGACCAGTTCACAGTCCATCTCCAGTACGTCAGGAGCTGGCACTAGTCAGATGGCGGGTTCGCAGTTCAGCTCGCCACCTCCACGCACCCGGGAGCAGATGGAGCTCCAACAGGTAGAGAGGATTCGCTTGAGGCTAGAGGACGAACTCAGACAAGCTACTAAAAGAGAGAAAGAGATTAGAGATAGGAGTGTCAGACTAGAGGGTAGGGAGGCAGACAAGGCTGCGCTAGAGGGGTTATATGACTCGACCCTTAGCAATAATGTAAAGATTTTGAAGGCGAGCATCCATGCATGCATACATGGACAGTAAACTGGATACCATCCAGGACACCTTGGACCAGATCCTGAATGCCATGCACAGGATACGAATCAGGCCAACAGTCTTGTCGTCACTGCCAGGCCCTTATGCCACTCAGTCCTGACCACCACCAAGTGGTACATCAGCAGCAACCCTATCACAATCTGTTGCTTCTTCATCTTCCGGTCCAGCGACTGGTGCTACACCACAGTCGCCACATGTCTCGCCAGCGGGACAACAATTTCCTTGGTATCCCCAAAACCCCCTGAAACCACCTTCAACCTTCTCAGGAGACAAGAAGGACGAGGCTCTCGACACGTGGTTGACAACGGTGCCAATGTGGGTGAGGGCAAAGAGAACATTGGTAGAGGAGGAAGTGATTACTGCTTCATCCTACTTAGAGGGTTCAGCAGCTCGCTGGCTTAATGGATTGGTAGCTTCAAAGGGGTTCGATAGGAACATGGGTGATTGGGCGCAGACCCACACCCTGGAGAGCTTTATGGACTTAGTGGAGGCATGGTGGCACAATCCTCAGCAGGCACAAATTGCCACTGATGGATTATTAAAGCTTGATGCTAGGAAGTACAAGTCGCTGCGAGAGCTTACCACGACCGTAAAGCGCTTAATCGTTGTCCCAGGAGTGGAGTACAATCCACAGGTCTTGTTGACCACGTTCTTGAGATATCTTCCCACAGACATCAAGAACTTATTAGCCAGTGAGGCTTGTAGAGAGTATCACACCTTTGAGACATTCAGCAAGAAGGCCCTAGACTTAGAGGCTATGCTGGGAAGTGCTCAAACCCCTTCTACGAACGGTAGAAAGAAGAAGACTCCACAGGAATGGAAGAAGTAGGGTAGTCGATTGATGATGGTTGATTCCGAAGGGAATCAAACTGAAATCGATGATGTTTCTGAACTTGTGGAGGGTGCAGAGTTAGACGGCGAGGAGAGTGCTGAGAGTAGCAACCTCGCCGCAGTAGTTAAGACTAAGGCAGCAGGCCGCGACAAGGGCGGTCAGCAAAGGAGTCAAGGGCAGGTCGCTAACCCAAACAAGATAGTTGCTTCGGTTAGAGCAGGCTTGGATCAGGAAGTGTGGCGAGATTGTTGGTCGTGTGCTTGCATAAGCTGCAGCGAGTACCGCCATACGCAGTTTAAATGCAAAAACCCAAAGGTCTCGCAAAAGATCCCTCCTAAGGGTGGGTTTCCTTCTTCTCAGTCTGGGGCCTCTACGAGCTCCAGCTCGGGAAACACTTAGGGCCGGTAGAAGATGTAGCTGTTTCTACTCTCGTTGAAGCGGGTGATGTACCCTCCCCGGTTCAAGAGTTGGCCAAAGCTATTGACTCCTTAGTCAACCCGCAGACGCATCCGGGCCCAACTATACTCTGTACGTTGGATGTGTCTGAAGCCTTAGAGGACCTTCAAGGAGAGTGGTCGGCAAGGGACCCTCGTGAGTCCGGGGTGGCACTGAGTAGAGGTCCTAGAGGGGAGCACTTCGTTGTGGAAGTTGGTGTGGGTGGTGGCAAGTGCGGCGCCTTCGTAGACATTGGCTCCACGCGAAACTTCATAAGTCGCGACTACGTTGACAGACTGTGCCTAAAGGACCGGGTGCAGCGCCTTCGTAGACCGGTAGCATCTACTTTGGCCAACAAAGAGCGCATGATGGTGGAGGACCACGTTAAAGATGTAGTCTGCACCTTCTCCTACCCAGGAGGAGAAATAAACCATAAGATATCATTCCTAGTGAGCGACGAGTTGCCCTTTGATATGTTATTGGGCATGTACTACCTCGAGGTTGCCAAGCCCCAGTTCGACTGGGACAAGAAGGTGTTGAAGCACGAGTTGCCTAATGGGAGGACGGTTAAATTGGCCAAGTATAAAGCCAGTAAATTAATAGACTCGTATGAGTGCTTATGCGCATCTGCCTTCTATAACTACCATAAACAGAACCAAGAGGAAGGAATGTACTTAGTCTATGTCTCTGCAAAAGGGGAGGCCGTTAAAACACCCCCAGAGATAGAGACCATCGTCGCTTAAGTACCCTGATCTGTTCGAGGAGCCCTCAGGAGTCGTAGACAGGGAGGTTGTCCATGCCATAGAGATCATCCCAGGTAGCAAGACACCAAAAGGGAGAGATGGCTCCGGCCGAGTTGGACGAGCTTCGTCGGCAACTGAATGAGCTCACAGAAAAGGGTTGGATACGGCCTAACACTTCCCCCTTTGGCTCACCAGTCCTGTTTGTTCCAAAGAAAGGGGGAACACTAAGGATGCGCATTGATTATAGAGGCCTCAATGCCATCACCGTTAAGAACGCAAAACCTTTACCACGCATTGCGACCTATTGGATAGGGTGCAGGGATGTAAGTACTATACAAAGATAGACTTAAAATCCGGCTACAATCAGATTGCCATAAGACTAGAGGACCAACACAAAACCGCATTTCAGACCAGCTACGGTCTGTACGAGTTTGTGGTGATGCCCTTTGGCCTTTGCAATGCGCCGGGTACATTCCAGCACGCCATGAATAAGTTCGTTGTCGTGTACCTCGACGATATACTTATCTTTAGTAGAACTGTCGAGGAGCATGCTCAGCATGTAGACAAAGTACTTTCACTCCTCCGGCAACACAAGTATAAGATAAACGCAGAGAAATGCGAGTTCGGTCGCACTCGAATCTTGTACTTGGGTCATGAAGTATCCGCAGACGGGATTAGGCCCAAAGATGCGAAGGTGGCTAGCATTAGGGATTGGCCACGACCCCAGTCTGTGACTGAGGTCAGATCATTTTTGGGAATGTGTGGTTATTACCGCAACTTCGTAAAGAACTATAGCACGATCGCATCTCCCTTGACTGATCTAACTCGACTTGATACACCATGGGACTGGACCGACGAGTGTGAGGCAGCTTTCAAGCGTTTGAAGCATGCTCTCACGCACCATGAGGTTCTCATGGTACCCGACCCGCAAAGGTCATTTGTTGTAACTAGTGACGCAAGCCAATACGGCATAGGCACAGTGCTGGCTCAATAGAAAGGAAAAAGTTGAGACCGGTCGAGTACATGAGCAAAAAGATGTCATCAAAGAAGTTGGCAAAGTCCACCTACGAGACGGAACTCTATGCTCTCTACAAGGCACTTGTCCACTGGAGGCACTATCTGTTAGGAAGGTTCTTCTATTTGAGATCTGACCATCAGACCCTCAAGTGGATCAGAACACAACCGGTTCTCTCCGATGCACTCAAACGTTGGATTGAAGTCATAGATCAGTACGACTTCAAACTAGACTATGTGAAGGGAGAGTACAACAAGGTTGCAGATGCGTTGTCTAGAAGGGCAGATTACCTGGGTGCGTTGATTTATGAGTTTGGCCTATCTGAGGACGTGGCTCGATCTATGGAGGAAGCCTGCAAGGAAGATCCCATCACGGTGGACATCATCAACAAACTTCAGGCTAAAGACAAGGCCACCACTTATGAGTTTGTGATGGTGGATGGGTTGCTCTTTCTTGAGAAGGCAGGGTTTAAGAGATTAGTTGTTCCATCTAGGGAAGATTTGCGTAGTTTATTTTTAGGAGAATACCACGACGCAACGGGACATTTCGGCTATAAGAAGACTATGCAAGTAAGATGAGCAATAGCGAACTTCAGCAATCAAACAGCATCATACATATGAGTCCAGATAGTCGCGACCTCGAACCAACAGCAGAATTGCACCATGAGTTTCACCAAATAAGAACACGCCAAAAGTTCATAATTGACAATGCTGAAATAGTCCCATCATCATCATCAACGAAGAACTAGAGTTGATATCCGATCTGGCGCTCTGCGCCCAGACTACATGTGGCGGATCCTATCTAGCCTATACTATAATGCCGAAGTTGACGACAACAACTCTCCTAAAGTACGAGCATACAGCGACCAATGTCGCACGCTTCCAGCACCAGGTATGTCTCTCGCCTTACTCATAACCTCGTTCCCCAACACACAGATGCCACTTGCACCCAAGGACCACCCTGCGCCACACCCAGCTTACAACAGCGCAACTCGGCTATGGCTGCCTGCTCCTTCCCTGCTCGCCCGTGAGCGCGTAGGCACCAGCCAACAAATAACGCAGCAGCGCTTGCGCAACATGCAGCCAGCACCCGAATGCCGAATGAGGAGGCAGGCCCTTTGCTATATCGAAGTGGCCTGCCTGCGTCCAGTCCCAAGAAGCTTCCAGTACGCCCCGGTAGCCTGAGGCCCAGCACGATCGAGAACAGGCCTGGGGCCTGATGTGGTTGCATGCGCCCAACTGCCTTTGGCACGTGTTTGGCCCAGTACCCGTATCCAGCCCAGGGCCTGCTTTCCATTCATTCACACAGGCGGCCCAGGGCCTGGGTTCTCTCAACCAACTAGCGCTGCGCAACTGCTTGAATTTCCTTAGTTGCGCAGAGGCCGAAATAAGGCCCTGAGGGGCCTCGTCGAGCCTGCCTTTACTTAGGGCGGCCGACAGGCTCCCAAAAAGGGGTCGAATGGGCTCATAGAGGCAGTGGCCCCGCATTCCCTCCTCCTTAGCTTCAACAGTCCTTTGAGAAGCTCAGTCTTCGACCATCGGGCGCTTTCCTTTCTGCAGAGATTTCTCGTAGTGGGCTACAACTTGCGGAGCGGTCTGCATGAGTTCCTCCCTGTTAAACCAGTGGTCCTCCTTCGGTTCAGTATGATGTTGGAACCGAACGCGGTACCGCAGCTTCGGTTTCGGAGGACATCCCCTGCCTGTTGTTTGTGGAACTGGCAGCTCCCGGTGATCAACAATATCGTCGATGTCAACCTCTCCATCCATGGTTGGGGGCAGCATTGAACGACGAGATGGAAACTGATCTGTTTCCTTGAAAGGTGCAAGCTTGGAGGTGTGAAAGACAGGGTAAGTGCGTAAGTGACCAGGGATGCGAATAACATAAGGTGGGCCATCTGGTTCATTCCCCACGACATCCAATACTTCCCACGGTCCAAAGTATTGTGGCATGAGCTTGCGGGAGATCCCGTGCTCCTGTCCCAGTTCTGAGGACTTGACCCAGACTCTCTCTCCTACCTGAAACGTAGGGGGGCGGCGGTGTTTGTTCTCAGACTCTATCATCGCCGCCTGTGCCTTGTACATTTGTTCAACAGCCTGCTGCATCAGCTGCTCATATCGATAAGCAAACTCTAAAGTCCCAGGTGCAACGGTTGGCTGATTGTCAGGTAGTAGAAAGTCTAAAGGCAGTCGGGGTCTGAAGGTCAGTAGCAGGCTGTTAGGACCGACTCCGGTTGCGCTGTGCACAACGTTATTGTACAAACTTGTGATGACATCAAGTTTCTCATCCCAATCTACCTGATTTGGCTTGATGTAGTGCCTTAGCAGGTGTTGTACAGCGAGGTTCATTTGTTCAGCCTGCCCGTTTGCCTCAGGATGATTGCCGATGTCATCTGCAGTTGCGTACCTTGCTCTGCAGCTGCTGCTTTCCACAATTCACTTGTGAATCTGACATCCCTGTCACTAACTATGGACTTAGGTAATCCAAAGTCTCTAACCCAATTCTCGTTGAACATCTTAATCACATACTCCGTTTTAGCTGTTGCCGGCATCGCAACTAATCTAGCAAACTTACTAAACCTATCCACAATGACGTAGATGTAGCACATACCACTCTTGCTGGTGACCAGTGTATCCATGAAGTCCATGGACAGGCTCTCACCAGGCCTTTCCGGAATCGGAAGGGGCTTCAAGAGCCCAAGAGGAGCCTGGGTATGTGGCTTGTCCCTCTGACAGACCTGGCAAGTCTCCACGTACAACTTCGCATCTCTCATCATCGTGGGCCACCAAAACCGCTGCAACAGATTGGCTGCAGTCATCTTAAAGCCAAAATGTCCGGTGGCATCATGACATTCTCCTAAAAATAAACTACGCAAAGATTCCCTATTAGGAACACACAAACGTTTATTCCCAGCCTTCTCAAGGAACAGCAAGCCGTTGACCAACTCAAACTCGACAGAAGTCACTTTGTCCTTCCCCTCGAGTCTGCGGATGATCTCAGACATGAACGGATCCTCGCGATAGGCTTCCACCATGGAGTGAGTAATATTGTCCGCAAGCCCAAACTCAGTGATCAGCGCACCTGAGAAATCAGGTCTACGCGACAGGGCATCAACAACCTTGTTGTACTTGCCCTTGATGTACTGGGGCTCGAAGTCATACTGCTCTATGACTTCGATCCAACGCTTGAAAGCGCCAGAGAGTACCGGCTGAGTTCTCATCCATCTCAAGGTCTTATGATCAGTCCTGAGGATGAAGAACCCCCCAAGGAGATAGTGTCTCCAATGGGTCAGAGCCTTGTACACCGCATAGAGTTCCTTCTCATAGGTGAACTTTGCCAACTTCTGAGAGGGCATCTTTTTGGACATGTACTCTACAGGCCTCAACTTTCCCCCCCCCTGTTGTGCAAGTACGGCGCCTATGCCATATTGGCTAGCATTCATAGTCACTATAAATGGTTTGTCAGGATCAGGAAGTTTCAAGACTTCGTAATGCGTCAACGCATCCTTCAGATGTCTGAAGACAACCTTGCATCTCTCAGTCCACTCCCATGGGGTGTCAAGGCGGGTCAGATCAGTCAAAGGGGCGACAACTATGCTATAGTTCTCCACGAAATTGCGATAGTAGTCGGTCATCCCTAAGAATGATCTTATCTCAGTCACAGACTGAGGACGCGGCCAGTCACGAATGCTGGCCACCTTCGCGTCATCGGGCTTCAACCCTTCCGCGAAAATCTCATGACCCAAGTACAAGACACGGGTGCGGCCAAACTCACACTTCTCACCGTTGATCTTGAACTTGTGCTGTCGCAGGAGACTGAGGACTTTGTCCAGATGTGCAACGTGCTCCTCGACAGTCTTACTAAAAATAAGTATGTCATCGAGGTACACGATGACAAACTTATCCAAGTAGTCATGGA